CCTACCTACCTACCTACCCTACCTACATAAGCGTGCAACCTGACTCCCCTCTCCCTCTCTTTGTGGTTGTCCGTTTCCCCACGTGTCCATGCTGGTGCATAGACCAACACCTGCGTCTCCTGCAGATCTGGAGTGATGGATAGGTTTTGCTTGAAAGCAGCCCCACTGCAAGGCTCTCCGTGCTTTTGCAGAAGGCTCGAGTTCTTCGCTCTTGAGTCAATTCCAGTGCGCATGTCGTAGCTTCGCATTCTGGACTATTTTGGGGTCCCGTCTATCATGCTCCGCCGGCTCAACACTGGGAGCTTCCCTAGCGTGTCATGCGTGTTGCATATTTGTACAAGTAAGCCAGCGGCTAGTTAGTTGACCAATTGATGACCCATTGGTCGCCGGAGTTATCGTGCACTTCGCAGGTTTGCGAAGTTTCAGTAAGTGAAATTTCATCAAAGAAGCAGGTAGCCTTAGCATCAATGCTTTTGACATCGCAAAGCATTTTGATTGACAATCAACCCAACTGGCCTAAGTCCCCAAAAGTTCTCAACCGCCCGCTCGCTCGGGGTTTAAAGTCGTACAAGGCTTAGGGCTTTTGTGATGACTCAGGTCAGAACGCGAGTTGAGAAGCTGTCGTAGCATTGCAGCTCCCACATAGGTCAAGTTGAATGTTTGTGACAGTTCTGGATGGAAACGCACGGTTACCGAAATTTCGTTATGCCTCCATCTTCTTCTACCAGAATCACAAGAAAGTTCATATTGCTCGTAGCAGCTGGGACATCACAATGTCGAGGGGCCACGCCGGACATCGTCGCTTTCGCAACGGCCATTGCTGCCTGTGCCAGCGGCGCCGCACCTGGCTTCGTGCGTCGCCAGATGGTGAAATTTGGTCCCCCAAAGCCCACTTCGAGGCAGCCGCTGGGAGCTTGTTCTCGTCCTGTTGCATGAGATGTCCATGGAGCAGTTGGAGCCAGACCCTCGGTGCCTGTAAGCATCAGCTTGTGCAAATTCGTGCAGCAGTCGGGATGCACACTGACAGCTTTGCAGCTCTATCCTTGACAGTCTGCCAGTTGCATCTTTCAGGCCGCCAGTCGTTGCTTACAACGCGGCACTGACCGCATGCACGTCGGCTGTCTCCTGGGCAGGAGCCCCAGCACGCATCTGCAATGCACACGTAAATCCAGAGTGAATGCCTGCATGCTTACTTGCTTGCTTGCTTGGTTGCGTGCTTGCTTGCTTGCCTGCGTGCCTGCGTGCCTGTGTGCTTGCTTGCTTGCTTGCTTGCTTTCTTGCTTGCTTTCTTGCTTGCTTTCTTGCTTTGTCTATCATTGCCATGCGTAGCTACTCCTTGCTTGCTGCTAGCTTGCTTGTTGCTGACTCCCTTCCGTGACTTCCGTGCTTTCTCACTTACTCGCAGTGAATCCCTTGACCTCGCGTTGGAAGGCAAGCTGAAACACCCGCAATCCGTTTTTTGAGGCTACAGCGCTGGCCCTGCACTCCTGTATGCAGGGCTGGCAAATGGCTCCGGAGGCTGCTCTCTTTCTGGAGGTTTGAGGAAGACAGAGACTTCATCGCGTGGTTAAACAGTACATGCGCGACTGCTTCATCTCACAGAGCCATAGGATGGTCCTCAGTTCGATACCTCCAGGTCACGGCTCTGAGCGGACTGGTCGAATGCTGCAGACCCTGCCCCAGTTGGCAGCGCGCATACCCCTCTTTGCTACCTGTACCACTCAGAACTGAACTCGGACAAAGAGCAGTGAATTTTGGTGCTTGAGCCTGAGGTTCTGCCAAGCGCCCGGCAGAGGCCTGGGAAGTCGGGGAAGTGCAAACTGGCTGCTCAGCTGTGCCAGGGTCGTGCTGTCAGCGTTGAAGTCGACTGTTCGCCGGAAGGCCCTGGCGCTGCTCGCTGCCTTCCGGACAAAGAGCCTGCAGCGCTGCCGAGAATCTTGCCTCGCCGGAAAATCTGCCACCCTAATAGGCTCTAAGGGTTAAGTAAGACCCTGTTTGGGGCTAAATGTAATTAAAACAGTAGTAACTTAGTAGTAACCTTGTTTATAACCCCAATCCCATGATTCATTGAACAAGGCTTGCACAAGACGTGCGCTCTGGAGTTGAGTATGAATGCTGCAAGCCTGCACGGCCTTTATGGGTGTAGAAGGGTTGTGAGGGTTGAAGGCGGGGGCGCAACGTCTCTTAAGGTACGCAATATGGGTTGTAATTCACATAGTTGCCAGAAAGTCGACAAATCCCACTGTGAGCGACACCACTGCCCACAAGACTCTGCTAGTGATGACCTTAGTTTCGGGGTTTGGTAGGACGACAGAGAGCAGCGAGGGCTTCGCCGTTTTGCCAAAGCAGCTCCATGGCTCGATCTGCCTCATTAAACCTCATGATTTGCTTCCTAAATAAAAAGCCAGCGATCAAGGCACAGCCGTCGGATGTCGTTGGATAGCTTAGGTTTCCTGAGATCGCCAGCATAGTTTCGACTTGCCCGGCTTAGCTCAAGTTCTTCTTTACAGCTGCAGCTTGCGATGACAGCGCATAGGAAGTTCTTCCTGGAAGTGAAGCCTTGCCCCTTGAATGCCTAGCCTGCACACTGCGGCCCTATGAGCGATCTGCCAGTTGAGCACCTTGGCCAGAGATTGCCCCTTCCCCCATCTAATCCTCAGTAGACTCTTTGCTGCTCATTCATTTCCTTCTGGTCTGATCCCTTCCTATCCAGCTTCAGCCAAGACAGAAGAGAGGCGCCACGCTGCCTCCCGTGCGCTGACGCTGACTGCAGCCCTCGGCCGCCTCGGTGTACCGGCCCGCGCCGAGAGACGGCTGACGATCCATGTCCTGGGCAGCTTGGAAGAACCCTGAAAGACTTGGAGGTTTCCGAAAATAGGGGACCCTAGTATAGTACCCTAAATAGTAGGATCCGTGTTATAAGGCCCTAAATAGTAGGATCCCAAATATAGTACCCCCAAATAGGAGGATCCTTATTAAAAAGGCCCCAAAACAAGGGTACCTGGGCTCGGATCCTTCCCAGGTGCCAGCTTCCGGGAGGAGGGCAGCGACCTGATCGCGACGTCAGCCGTCTTCGCCCCGCTTCTCTCCGTACTCAAAGACCAAGAGCTCGACAAGGAGAGACTGTAGGGTGTAAGGGTTTAGGGTTTAGGGGTTTAGGGGAGACCCCCACCAAAAAAAGCTCACTTTTGGTCCTGTGAATGCTGAAGCCACGAGGTTCAGATGCTCCTCGTTGGCCCCACTGCCGTGGGGCCGTCGGAGAAGCCCCGTACTGTGCAGTTCAGGGGTGTTGTGTTTTCTGCGGTGCTGTTCTCCTTCCCAGGTTAGTGGCTGCTGATGATGAGACCCGCTTGCCCACGGGCCTTCTGCTGCCCGGCAGTGTTGCGTCAATCTTATTGAGAAGGATGCGAAGAAGAATCATCGAGCATCGTGCTATAAGTGGTCGCTTTATCTCTTGTAGGCTGGAGACCCGACACCGACAAGGTCTCTACCACGAGGTGGGGGCCCGGACTGATTCGGGTCGAGATGTGCTGTTGAAGTCTGGAGCTCGCTTTTTGGAGGTCAGTTTCGAGCCTCACTGGGATCCGGACCTCGTCTGCGCCTTCCAGCCGGGCTTCTACGGCGCCTCGACCTTCAGAGGGGGGCCTTATCTTGGGGAGAAAAATATCCCTCTTTTTTTCTCCGAGGCTACGACAGCTGGGAGCCCAGCATTCGCAGGGTCCTGGAGCTGAAGGCGCCCTTCCTCGTCGGTACCTCGGCCACCTCGGCCTTCGCAGATCGTGGAAAAAGGGTAGAGGACGAGTTGCTAGCAGCGGGAGCGAAGGCCACGAGTTACACTTACGAAGAGGCCGAAGAGGACAAGCACTGCACTGGTGACTTGCGCATCAAACAGAGAGATAGAGTCGTGTCCACGCCAACATATGCAGGATCAACACACTCTCTTGGAAGAGTTTGGGTGCGACCCCATGTGCGGCCAAGCCGCATTGTGAATGCCCTCGGGATGCAACCGTTCTGGCTAAGGTCTCTAAGGCCACTCAGCTCCCGACACCTGAGGCTGGGAGCCACCCGGCTGGCCTCCGGAGGCCAACGCCTTCGCATCTCCACTGCAACGCGGAGAGCAGCAGGCGTGCCACACACTGGTGCAAGTCTCTCGTTAAGCCTCGTCACTTGTTTTCTGGAGAGTCCCCTCAGGAGCAGTGTTGCTGGCAATGCCTCGTGCCACCAAGCTTGCGAAAAGAAGAGCTGCATCAAAAAGCCGAAAAAGGCCGCACGTCCTCGGTGACTCCATGCTCTTGCGTCCACCCGACCTTGGATGTCTTTCCCAGCCTTTGCTTGATCAAAAGTTTCGCCAGCCAGGGGGCATGTTCTTCACAGATGGGCGTGGAGAGAGCCTCTCTGCAGTGGGTCCTAGGTCCTAAAGCCTTACAACTTATCACACAACAAGCATGAGCCTGGCAATGATCTGCAGCTGACAAGAGCAGCATGCGATCAACCAGGCACGACGGGGCAAGGCCCCCGACTGCATCTTTCGTCAGTGAAAGCTTGCGAGAGAGCAGTACTTGTGAGTGGCTCCAACCACGCATATTTCCAGGAGCACCGCCGCCGCAGTTCGCTTCTCAGCTCTGGGCACGTCGGAAAACTTTGCTCGACCTGTCCGTACCTCACCTCCTGCCTCCTGCCTCCTTGCCCAGCAGACCTCGTTGCCGCGCTGCTTTACAAGTCCGAGAGCCGTCATAGCCTCCAGCCGTCAGATACAAGGCCAAACGTGCGACGGCGTCCTCTTCGGTTATGTGCAAGGCGCACATCCCGTGTCAGATCAACTTATCTGTTCTTTAGACGCTCGTGGCTGAGCTACATAAACAATCCCCCTGCACTTCACTGCGTGGTGCAAGTAAGGGCTTCAAGACGGCCGTCCGAGACGACCACTGCTCTGAGCGCTACAAAGCAGATTGCGCCAGACACGAGGACGATGAATTGGGTCTCTGTGAACGAACGGACAGGATCTTCCACGCCGGCTGTGTCAGGAAAATCTTGGTCGGGTCCGCCAAAATCTGCTGCAGCTCGCAGAGGAGTACGCACCTTGCCGTCTCTCCAGCCTGTCTTGTCGGAAGAGGTCACGAAGTCAAAGGGATCGGGTCCTCGAGCCAAAGACTGCCGCAGGAATCTCGTAAGCTCAGAGCTGCAGCATGAGAAGTGAGATGCAACTCAGGCATCCCTTCTGGCAACTCGGCTGAAGTTGGGGTGCCTACCCATCAGGCCTCCTAATCGGGGGGTTCTTACATTCCGGATGGTCTCATACCATTTCGGATGTTTTGCCAGAGGGAATCCTTAAACGAAAGGTCGACAAAAAAGCGCACCATGTGGTATGGAGCCCAGGAGTCGCAAGAGGCTGAGCACTTCGACTGGCTTTTTGCGTGGCATCAGCGGCTTCTGCGAAGCATCGCCGCCGTCGATGAAGGGAGCAGCAGCTTTGGCGCCAAGGGATTGAGATGCATATGCTTGAAAGGGGGGCATGCGTTTGAAGTTTGGTGGATGCAGCACGTGCACGTGTGAATATCAAGGTTCTGCAAGCAGCGATTGGCAGGAATTCAAGCGTAAAGCCTTCAAAGTGACGCAGGACCTCGGAGTGGCAGAGCAGTTTGCTGAGTTACGAGGGTGACTTGAGCAACGATGCACGCGCCAGGACGTTGCTGAGACAAGGAAAGCCGTAGCCGAGCATGCCGAAGCTCGTCGGATCACACGCTGAATGTCAGCCATTATCATTATTATTATTGTTATTATTATTACCGTTATTAATATTACTATTATTACCATTATTATTATGATTACTATTACTATTTTTACTCTTATTATTATTATTATTGTTATTATTATTACTATTATTATCATCAGACTCCATGCTAAGCCTGCTGCCCAAGGAAGCTGTGCGGGTGCAGATGGATTGCCAGCAGCTGCAGGCCCACATTTCCTGTCGATTTCCCGGCCTTCGAACATGTCGGGGATGATAGACGATTGACAATAGTGTGTCTTGAAGACAGTGCGACATGGGAGCAGCTGGTACCATGCCTTAGGGAGACTTTGCAGCTTCGCCTGCCGTCGAGTACAACGCTTGGAATGCCAGTTCTTGGGATCTTTTGGTTGATACTGGAAGGCACTTTTTTGGTTTCAGGGTTCATGACGTTTGTTCAAGGGGACCATCTGTGGGGCTTGAGGTGCCAACGAAGGATTAAGACTTCGTTGAAACTGACGCATCGATGTAGGGAAGATGCCTTACAGGAGCCGATTCAACCCTGCAAAAGCCTTCGCCACGAAAGCTCCCAATGATTACCAGGCACCGACGTGATGAGATATGAGATGGTGTTTGGGCAAGATGCCTGAAGCTCTCGTTTAGGCTTCCCTCCAAGTCCTCAGCAAGACAACCCATCGACACCTTGACTAGAAACGCGAACATTCAACTCAAAACCCCAAGCCCTTGACTCATGTGTAAATCATAGATCCAAGGCATCCCAAGCCATCCCGAACCTCCAACCTTTTAATCTCAAAGACGGCCTCACTCCTCAACCCTACAAGCCTAAACCCATTATTAATATCTTAATGTGCGCAGTCCAAGGAGCAGAGACCACAAACTCAACGTTTAGCTCTGCACAACTCTGCAAGAGCCAACATGTTGTGCGCGCAACTAACTTGATTGCTATGTTGATTGATGATTATTCTTGTTGCAGTTGCGACAGCTGTGTGTATTGTTATACTACTCTTACTATACTGACATGTATTACAATTGTCATTGTCGTCGTTATTCATGTTTTTCTAGTTTTGCCATCATTACTGTTGTGGCTAGTTTAACCTGTTGCTATTATTACGACAGTTCTTACTACTGGCACTATTCTCAATATGTTTACCGCCATTGTCATTATTGTTTGAAGTACTACTGCGATTACGGGTATTATTCTCATTCGTACTATTTTTATTACCCCCTTGATTGTTATTATTACGGCGATGACAAGTCTTACCAGTAGCATGTGTATTACTGTTCTCTTCATTTCTCTTCCATGATCACAAAGGTCTTACCGATTACTATTATTGCCGTTCTTACGATTAGCACTACCAGAAGAGGGTTTTAGCAACAAGGAGGGGTCCAAAACCCCTAAACCCCTAAGCGCTCAACCCTAAACCCCTAAAGCCCTAAACCCCTAAACCCTAAACTCTAAACCTCTAGACCCCTAAACCCCTAGACCCCTAAACCCTAAACCCTACACCCCTAAACCCTAAATAAACCCTTAGACCCCTAGACCCCTGAACCCTAAACCCCTAAACCCCTAAACCCCTAAACCCCTACACCCCTAAACCCTAAAGCCCTCTTCTGCTACCTTCCGGCAGGCCCAACTCCGAAAAACCCGACGCTGCCTGGCACAGCTCCTGGCGGTGCAGCAGCGAGACAAAGAGGCGCTCCGGTCCCGCCAAGAGAGGCTTAGCGTTTGGGGGTTTAGGGCATTGGGGCTTGGGGTTTAGGGGTTTAGGGTAGTAGGGTTTAGGGTTTAGGGTAGTAGGGTTAGGGCTTAGGGTAGTAGGGTTTAGGGTTTAGGGTGTATAGGGTTTCGGGTTTATAGGTTTTAGGGTTAGTTTTCGGGGTTTAGGGTAGTAGGACTTTGTAACATTGTAGGATTGACTGCAGCTTGAACACGAATGTTTACAGTTACACGGCGGTTTGTATATGGGGTTTCGCAGGGCTAGCGGCTAGCCGTTAGGGTGTGAGGGTCTTTCCGTTGCAGGGTTTTGGCAGCACCGAAGGACATGCACATAGCGCAGATGTGTATGCCACCCTACATCTCATTCCACTGTCAAGTCAGTTCGCTTTGAGGTATCGCTTCTGCCTGATTGGATATTTGATGTGAAAAGCGCCCTTCTGCCGGAACCCCAATTACGAACCCATTTCGTCCACTACAGGATCCCCCTTTTGACTACATGAACGACCTGTGCAGTGGGACCTGCGCTGCACACTTTCGAAATAAGGGTCCGTAATTAGGTCCCGAAGATACCCTTTTCAAAAGGACCCGAAAAGGGGCCCTAGTTTAGAGAGCTGCCCAGATGTCTGGGTTCCGAGAGGACGTCCGGCAACTGGCTGAGCAGAGGGCACGGGGTGGCCGGGGAGCTGCAGAGGAGGAGGGGCTTTTGGGCTGAGGGTTGGAGGGAATTTGGGGGACAGAGGCCGTTCGTCGGTTTGGGGGATTGACTTGGGGAGATGGGGACATGTGGCTCCCTGCCAGTCTCAGCCTCTACCAGCTAAAGCTTTGGGAGGCTTGCTGAGTAGACTCGGCCCCGGAAACACTTGTTGCAGAAGCGACAGAACTGCGCCACCTCAAACAACACCGCGCCCTGACCCCGAACTCTCGCGCTCTTTGCGTTCTCTGCTCCGATCGAGGCGAAGAAAAGGAGAGAACCCTAAGAGACCCAAAAGGACAACTTTGATTTCGTCCTTTTGCAGGACGCTCGTCGAAGCAGCGAGCTGAAGACCTCGGTGGAACGCCGGAAAAAGAAGGAGGAGCGGATCGAAAGGCTCCAGTTCGGGTTCTCCCCAAATCAGGATGGCCGTGGCCTCTCCTGGGACCTTCGTCAGCCCCACGAGGGTTGCAGTCCAGACTTGACATGGCCAGGCTGCGCAGCACCACCTCAGAGGCAGCAAAGCAACTTGGTGGCATTCGCATGCAAGCGCAAGCGGTCACAGCACACAACTCAGAAGTTGTGCGACGTGTTTCTCGATGCAGGAACTGCGCTGAGATGCGAGCTGAGCTTCAGGAGATGAGGTCGCGGCTTTGTTTGCTGTCCAAACTTGTTTCTGGTTGTGGTTCGGCGATTTGCAGCTGCGAGAATTCTGCAGTGCTTTGGACAGAACTGCCTGCGGCCAGCTCGGAAGCACGACAGGTCGCTTACCAAGCCCATGCCTTCACACGTGCAGCTGGGCAGCAAGGAAGCGCAGGAACTCTCCCAGAATGAAGAGAAAAGCTGAAGCATGAAAGCGCATTTCGGGGAACGGAAGGACCACGGAGGACCGGAACAGAAGTCAGGAAGTCTGGCGTCTTCTGATTCTGGCTGAAGCCACAATGATCAAAACCACGAGTGTGACAACAGCAACCCAGCTTCAATCTTCTGCAGAGAACAGGATGGCTCTCTCCTTCTTCCTCCACCTCCCCTGTGTGTTCCTCGCACTCCTTGTTTCTTGCCACATCCACTGCCTGGCGAATCGCAATATCGGCAGACCTGAGCCCCAAGCTTTGAAGCACAGCA